CGCTCTTCTTTAACCATTAATCAATGTGTAAGTAAGGATTTATATAACTGGGAGCTGCTACTATTTCTGGTGTTTTTCTCAGTTTGGGCTGAAATGCAGAGGAAAACTCACAGAGATGGAGAATGGCTGGAGCTGAGTCACCTGCTCCCTGGAGTGAATGCAGTGATGGTTGAGACCCAGACACCTTTTCTGTCCTGATGGAGAAGAACTCAGGGTGCTCAGGAGCCTCTGGATGTGAGGGTTTTTAGAGTCTGATCACTTAAAACCAGCCCATTCCCCAGAGGCATTCCCCAGAGTCCAGGGAGCAAATCACTAAGCGTCTTCTCACCGTTCTGTCTTCCCTACAGAGCAGAGCAAAACCTAGCCCTCCCCTCTTGGCCCTTCAGCTTGCGGTCAGTGTGCATGTGTGTGTGTGAGTGACGAGTGCATGAGTGTGTGTGTGTGTGTGTGTGTGTGCCTGCTTGTGCTGACAAGTATGAACTATGTTAGAACTGCAGGTTGTCCTTCATCAAGAGGATGTTGATATAGGAATTTAATAGACCTCTGCCTTACATTATGAATCATGTCCCACAGTACAATCCCCAAGGATATGTATGTATTGTGTACTTTTTCTTGAAACTGCTCCTCTCCATATCCTACTTTTGGAAAGTTTCACGATGTAATAAATGTTACCCCCATGGAGCTTGTTAAGCCAACCCCTCCAAGGACTGTATTTTCCTTTGGGAGTACAGTTTTGCTACAAAGTGTTAATATGGAAGTGTCTGTTAATTCCCATTGCAAATACTACTTTTTAGTTGGAGAAAAACGGAGATTGACTCCAGCCCTTCAGTGCTTTCCTGACTTCTTTTGGTTTCAAGGTACTTCCCAAGTATTTGTCCACTTTCTAAAACATTTTCCCCTAAATACATATCCTATGTTTAGAGAAACCATTGTAATCTCTCTGCTTTAAACATTTAGATGTTAAACTTGAGTGATGGATGGCTTTGTCAGATCTAGAGAAAGCATGCAATCATAATGCCTGAGATCCCTTCAAATTCATGAGTATTCACATTAATTTGGTTCTTACTGCTATGCTGCTGCTGAGTCGCTTCAGTCGTGTCCAACTCTGTGCGACCCCGTAGACGGCAGCCCACAAGCCTCCCCCGTCCCCAGGATTCTCAAGGCAAGAACACTGCAGTGGGTTGCCATTTCTTCTATAAATCATACTAAATTTCCCTAGTTTTCTCTCCCAGATGAAAATGCCCTATTTTCTAACTCCTTAAATCTCCCACTTATTCTCTCACTCACAGTTTCAGCAACTGCATGATAGTAGGTGAGAACATAAGAGAAATCGCGTGACAGTGTTCACAATCTCTCCATCACTTTCACATTTTGCTGCTGTTCAGTCACTAAGTCATGTCCAATGCTGTGTGACACCATGGACTGAAGCATGCCGACTTCCTTGTCCTTCGCTATTTCTCAGAGGTTGCTCAAACTCACGTCCATTGAGTCAGTGATACTATTCAACCATCTCGTCCTCTGCCACCCACTTCTCCTTTTGCCTTCAATTTTTCCCAGCATCAGGGTCTTCTACAATTAGGTGACTCTTTGCATCAGGTGGCCAAAGCACTGGAGCTTTCACAGTTACTAAATCTATGCATTTATGCCAACTTCTCTGCTGTTATTATTGAGTCACTAGTTTGTGCTTAACAAAGGCCAGCCTTTCACTTATGTGAGGAATCCCATGCAGTTGGCTATCATCAAGAAGATAAGAGATAACAAGTGCTAGAGAGGATGTGGGGGAAAGAAAGGAAACCTTTGTATACTCTTGGTGGGAATGCAAGTTGGTTCAACCATTATGAAAAATCATATGGAGGTCCCTTAAGGAATTAAAAATAGAACTATCATATGATCCAGCAACTTCTTTTCCGGTTATAATCCCAAAGGAGATGAAAACAGGATTTCAAAAAGACACATGCACCCCCATGTTTACTGAAGCATTATTCTCCATAGCCAAGACAGGGAGACAACATAAGTGCTCATCAATGGACAAATGGATAAAGAAGATGCCGTATATATACATAACAGTATTATTCAGCCATGAGAAAGGAGGACATTCTGCCATTTGCAACAACACTAGTAGACCACGAGCATATTATGCTAAGATAAACCAGACCAAGAAAGACAAGCATGGTATCACTGATATGAGGAATCTTTACAAGACAGACTTGATAAGAAGAGAGTAAAATGGGGGTTACCAGGGGATTGGGGTGAGAGGAGAGGATCAATGTTGTTTAGAGTACAAATTTAACAGTGAGTAGTAAATCAGCCTTAGAGACCTGATGGACAGTATAGTTAATACAGACAACAACATTGTATTATAATCAAACTTGGTAAGCTACTAGAATTTAATTACTTCAACTACTATAAAAAAAAAGGATAAATATGTATTGTGAAAGAGGTACTATCATTGTTACAGTGACAATCACATTACAACATATAAATATAACAAATGAACACTGTATACCTTAAATTTACAAAATGCTCTATCTCAAGTGTATTTCAATTTAAAATATAATGATTGTTCTTTGGCAGAAATCAGCACACTGTAAAGCAGTTATCCTCCAATTAAACAAATAAATACAATGAAAGGCAAATTATCTTAGAAAATTATAGCAAGTAATACAACCTCAAACAAAGAAGCTTATGAAAATAAATCACTAATCAGAGTTGGAAGAGCTTTTAATCTCATTTACTCCACCCTTTATTTAAAAAGCTTCTGTTTCAGTTCCTACTGCATGTATAATATTATGCAAAGTAATATTAATATCATGGGTTATAAAACTTTAGAAACAGTGTTTCTATTTTTTAACTTAATAATCCAGCTAGGGAATATTTTCTAGATATTATTATAACAGTATTTTATATTAAAAATAAATTCTTGATATTTGCATTTTCTCTTTTCTCTCCTCAGGATGCTTAGTAATTTCAATGAAAAAAAGTTGCTTTCTATAGGACAGTAGATATGTTCTATTGTTTGAAGGACTATTGATAAGTAATATACATCAAGCTGCCTCCTTCACAACTGATAAGCATTAACTATAATGTCCATCAAAATGGTAAATTAGAATTGCAGATATACAACACCATACTGGCCTTGACAGCTGTTCAAATTCTATTTTTATTCCTCCTCCCAAACTCCTAACACTTTCCTATCGGTAAGTCCTTTTCCTCATTTATAACATTTATTATGATTACTTCTTCATTCATTCAGCCATTTTTTCATACCTGTGATCATTCAAAAATATTTAGGAAGACTTCACTATAGGTCAAGCACTTGTGATTACTATTCAAACACTAAAGATACAGATCAACCGATTAGGATAACAGACAGAAATATTGTTTTTTAAGAATATTTACAAAATCTTAAAGCTTTAAAAAAATGTAATATCATTTATGTGAGTATTTGAACTATTGAAGTTGCTCCTAATAATGTATATGGGATATTAAACATTCTATATCATGACTAAATATTGCATATGCAAAACAACATGGTAATGTGGCTAGCTTCGTTCTCACTGCCCTTGAAGATGAGTATGATCATACTCAAACACATTTATTGACAGGACATTGTGTGTTTATGCTTAGGTTCAGTTTAAGGTTTATGGATATTTTAAAAGAAAAAAGGAAGTGGAGAGAGAATAACGGAGGGAGAAATAGAGAGATGATAGAGAGGAAACACAGGGAGAAAAAAAGAGAAGATACAGCACCCCTTCCTTCAGTTCCTCACTATGACGTCACAATCCCTGCAGGGGGAGGAGGGGTGTGTAGGGATGAGTCTGGGGGTGGGGTGGGGTGAGGTATGTACCACAGGAAAGGGGAAGCTGAGTGCGGGGTAGCTACAGAGAGGTTGGAACCAAAAGGACTTCTGAAAAGTTGATAGAATTTAGATGGTTGCTGTCAAAGGCAGAACTAAGTCTGAGACACAATTTTTGAAAGTGTGAGCTTCCCTGGCGGCTCAGACAGTAACGAATCTGCCTGCAGTGCAGACCTGGGGTTTCAAGCGCAGACTTTTGGCGCAAATCCATCTGCTGTTACCTTTATGTCAGTAGAGGTAGGACAGTAAGTTTCTACAGTCAAAAGAGGAAAACTGAGACAAGTCTCTGATTGGCAAACATTCTACCGTGGCAGGAAAGTGGAAAAGTCTTTCTAATTGCTCTTTAAGGACGTTTGGCCATCTCTGGTTGGCTACCAGGGGGCAAGGGAACATGTTAAAGACGCTCAAAGGGAGAAGGGTTGCCAGTGTTACAGAGAAGTATTTTCCGTATTCCATTTCTTGAAACAAGTGGGTGGTTTAGGTGGTTTGGGGTGGGGGCTGTGACAATGGTCCTCACCGGGCTGGTGGCAGCTATGGCGGAAAGCAACAGGAATGAGGGGATAATGAATAAACAAGGAGTATTGCTATTTAAACACTGAGGAGACCACCCTAGTGAAAGATCATGAGAAATGAAACTTGTAAATGTAAATGCCTATAATTAGAATTTGGATTTGACGGGCTAAAACTTTGGCTATCTACAATTTACAGGGCTTTGAAAAGAAATGTGAATTAAAAAAAAAACAAATTTAAAGAAGGTTATGTGAGAGACTTATAATAGAGACCAACTGCCTTATAAATGACTCACTTCTAGCATAGAGATGTTACTTTGAAAAAATGCTGGTCTTGATAATCCACATGTTCTTTGTGAAATTTGCTCAGCTGTGTCTGACTCTTTGCAACCCCATGGACTATACAGTCCATGGAATTCTCCAGGCCAAAATACTGGAGTGGGTAGCCTTTCACGTCTCTGGGGAATCTTCCCAACCCAGGGAACAAACCCAGGTCTCCCACATTGCAGGTGGATTCTTTATCAGCTGAGCCACAAGGGAATCCCAAGAATATTGGGGTGGGTAGCCTATCCCTTGTCCAGCAGATCTTCCCGACCCAGGAATCAAACTGGAGTCTCTGCATTGCAGGCAGATTCTTTACCAACTGAGCTATCGGGGACGCCCACATATTCTTTGTGGGGAGGGCGGGGTGGTGGGGGGAACTTCCAAGCATTTAACCTTTGAGGAAAACACACATGTACACACACACAAAATTTCTGAGTACCAGAGATAGAGGGAAAATTCTGCCCATCATAATTAGTGGAAAATACAAAGCTACCTCCAGGCGTGAAGAGTTTGTACAGATTAAGAAAAATACTTAAGCATTACATGTTATCCATAGGAGCCCGGTTTTTAAGGAATTTTATCAAGATTCATTGAGTCAACTAGTCAAAAACAACTACACAAGAGAAAGACATTAGAAAAGAAATAGCTTCTTCTTCAGTTAAGGATGTGGAGTTTATTTACAATGTGAATCAGTGAAATTTAATTTTTTTTTTTTAATTCTTGAATAAGCAGAGACTTTAACCAAATATTTTGGATTTGTGTTCTATTCACCAGGTAAGAGGCATAAGTTACCAAAGTTACTATCAATGTATCCCATTTCTCTCCGAGAGAAATTCAAACCACAACTCTTAGCAAAGTTTTAAAAAACAAACACCTTGTGTCACATGAAATAACCACTGTTCCCTTTTTTTCAGGCATCCTCCAAGCGCTGATCCCTGTAAGTGCCCCGAGAGCAGTCTGCCGGTTACAAAGAAGCCACAATTAGGGTAGCCCTTTGAATCACACAAACTATGCCCTTAAGTAAAGGAAGACTGGAGGTAAAAGCAGCTTCAGGCCCTTACCTTTCAGTCTCTGCCTCACTCACTGCAGGTTCAGAGCTGGAACGGAAACTCAGTGGACTTGGGAAAGCTGAAGTTTTCTTTCTTGTGTTTTTCAAAGACCACAGTTGATTGAAGACTCTGGTGACTTTCAGCAGCAAATTTTAGTACAATTCTAAATGTTTCTACCAAAGTTCCTTGGTCAGTAATGGCGGTCTTTGGCCACCTGATGTGAAGAACTGCCTCATTGGAAAAGACCCTGATGCTGGGAAAGATCAAAGGTGGGAGGAGAAGGGGACAGCAGAGGATGAGATGGTTGGATGGCATCACCTATTCAATGGACATGAGTTTGAGCAAGCTCCAGGAGTTGGTGATGGACAGAGAAGCCTGGCGTGCTGCAGTCCATGGGGTCGCAAAGAGTCGGATACAGCTGAGCAACTGAACTGAATTGAACTGAAGAGTGGATCTGTCTCCCCACCACTTCGCCTGTGAAGCTCAAAAGAGGAGAGTCTTGATCTTTTCCTAAGGTGGTTTCAAATACCTTCAACCAGTTCTTTTCCCAGTTTACATTGATACGATCCAGTCCTTACAAACAGTGCCAGATGGTAGAGAATCGGAAGCGGCTTCTTAGAGTGAGAACCTGACATGGAGCTTCCCACCGAGGCCCTCCAGGAATGTTCCTGACACCCTCTCCCACCACAGCCTTTCACCCTCCATCTACTCAGCACCTTCCCCTCCAGTCCGAGAGTCTCCCAACATCATGCCTCTCCCAACATCTCTCTCAGTCCAACCCCTCTCTCAGGATGATCAAAGAGGGATTTTCCTTTGAGATAGCTTATCTTATGGGCTATTCCTTGACTGGCACCATCTTCAACACCTGGAAACTTGGAAATACAAAATCTTGGACCTCACTCTAAATTTACAGAATCAGAGACCGCAGAGTGAAGCACAGCAATCAGAGTTTTAAAAATTCTCCAAGTGGTTCTGGTGCAAACTCAGTTTGAGAACCACTGCCATCTCATGCCTTCTCTTGTCTTATCCTTTAGAAGAGAGAGAAACAAGGAAGAAGACTTACTTTTACCTGGAACCTGTATGGGAAAGGGAAAGACAATAAACAAATAATAAATAAATACACTGAAAATAGAAAAAAAAAGTTTGCCCATATAAAGGATAAATAATGGCTTATTCAAGATACTTACATTTGGTTAAAGATCAAAGAATCCAAAATGCAGTACTTGGATGCAATCTCAAAAACAACAGAATGATCTCTGTTTGTTTCCAAGGCAAACCGTTCAATATCACGGTAATCCAAGNTCATTACAATAGGTGCTGTAAAGGAAACAGAGTAGAAAATAGTAGGCGTAATCCTTGATTCATCTCTTTTCCATGCACCCAACACCCAATCAACAGACCTGAAAATTTTACTACTAATACTAACAGATCAAAACTTTCCACTTCTCTCCGGTTCTCCTTTTATTATGCTTTTCAGGGGCTTCCACTAGAACCTAAACCCCTCACCCCAGTTTAGAAAGCCCTGCATCATCTGGGCTCCTGTCTATTTCCTCAGCATCATCTCTTGCCATCCCCAGACTCAGCCCTATGATCTTTCATGCTGTTCCTGCTATTAATACATGCTGAGCCCACTCCTGTTTTGCAGCCATCACTTTTGACGGTGGTTTTCAACAAGGAGGAAGTTAGGAGCCATGCCAGGGAGAAGTTTGGAAATATTTGGGGGATATGTTTAGCTGTGTGAAAGGATTTCAATCTAAAATGGAACTGGAGGATATGCAGCAGTGGACCTCACGCATGTGCCCTCATAGGAATGGAATTCAAGAACCAAGAGACTGATTTCCTATAAACGTCTGGTTTATGAAATACTGAGACTTATTACCTGACCAGTGAACATCTGCCAAGAATCTCTCTCCATCCTCAAGCCAAAACACATGTTTCTTGGACTCTCCCTGAACTTCCCCTTCTACACACTCCTTGCTTATAAATATAGCTCACCCTAAATCCTCAACAGACTTGCCTATAACTTGTTACAGCACATGTGTAATTGCTAATTCCCAAATAGCAATTCCTCTACTGTTCTCAAATAAACCTAATTTCTAGTAACTTGAGCTTGCCTCAGTTTACTTCTTTGTTTAGGTTGACAGTTGTCAAGTAACTAGTGGACCTATTTGCATTTAAGCCCTTAAAAAATTTCAGCATATTCCTCGATGCATTATGGTCTCAAAAATACCAAGAGTAAGCCCAGAAAAAGTTGTTGCCTCTGCTTGCAATGCACTTTAACTTCATCTTTGCATTCCTGGCCCTTGTTATTTTAAATGGTACCTTCTCAGAAAGGCCTTCCCACTAATGTAGTTTTCTAGTCTCTGTTTACCTTATCACCCTATGCTAATTCTCTGTATAGTGTTTATGGTATTTATTATTTACTTGTCTGTTTATTTTCTCCATCACTCATGCTCCCAACTAGGATGTAAGTTTAAAAGAAGTGAGGAACTTACCTGACTTGTTTGCTATTCTATCCTCTGAACAATGCTTGGCACCTAGTAGTTGCTTAATGAATGTTTGTTGAATGAATGAATGAAGAACATTGGTAATATAATGGGGCAATATGATCTTGCTTTGATTAAGATTTTTTTTGGATAATAAAAGTCTGGTCTTGAACCCTAGTTCTATAACCATGTGACCTTGGGAAAGTTACTTAACCTCTCTGAAACTAAATCTGGTTTTGGTCATTTGCAAAATGGATTTGTAGAGCTGCTGTGGGGATTAGTAAACATAAATGTTGGGTGCTTTGCATAATCCTCACAAAAAGGAGTCAGTAAGTTACTCTGATTACAAACTTCATGGCTTACATACTTACATACTTCATACTTCATGGCTTAGCTTAGGGCAAGAATTAAGTTGTGTGATAAGTGCCCCACTATTTTTAAATAAAGGGCTTCCCTGGTAGCTCAACTGGTAAAGAATCCACTTGCAATGCAGGAGACCCTGGTTTGATTCCTGGTTGAGAAGATCCCCTGGAGAAGGAAATGACAACCCACTCTAGTATTCTTGCCTGGAGAATCCCATGGACAGAGGAGCCTGGCGGGCTACAGTCCATGGTGTTGCAGATGTGGACAGCACTGTGACTGACACTTTATAAGCCTCACTCAAAGATGTCCCCTGCTGGTAAAAGCATTTTGTAGGAAAAAACGGAGGCAATACCATAAAGAAATGTCTGGTTGAAGATGATTAGATTAGTCTCAAAATGGACTAAAACGTAAGTAAGTTCCAAAATTGATAGTCAGCTGAGTGGGAACCCTACATTCCCAGAAAGGATCTTGAAAGATTATCGAAGTGTCTTAGAAAACTACTGAAATTTTATCAGAATTCTAATCAGTTTCAGCAGGGGCTGTGAATTGCCTCTTCCAAAAAGGCCTGTCTCCTCATGGGGTCTTTAAGAGTCAGACACGACTGAGCGACTTCACTTTCACTTTTCACTTTCATGCACTTGAGAAGGCAATGGCAACCCACTCCAGTGTTCTTGCCTGGAGAATCCCAGGGGCGGGGGAGCCTGGTGGGCTGCCATCTACGGGGCCTCACAGAGTCGGACACGACTGAAGTGACAGCAGAAGCGGCAATAGCACCACAGGTTTAAGACAACTCCTTCCTCAGTTTCTAGTTCCTCTCTTCTCATTGAGTTTCTTTTTTACTTTTTTCACTTTTGATAAGTAATTTAAACTTCCTGAATATTCCTGATTGCTTCATCTATAAAGTGGGGGAAATAATTTCTTCCCCAAATGAAAGAATAAGGCTAGAAAAAAACAACTATCTCTTTAGAGTCTTCCAAAGTCTGTGACTGACTAATCAAAACTCTGGGCTTCCCTGGTGGCTCAGAGGGTAAAGCGTCTGCCTGCAGTGTGGGAGACCTGGGTTTGATCCCTGGGTCAGGAAGATACATTAAAGGGGAAAGTTTTCTATTCTTGGATTCTGACCCTACCACAATGCCAAGCTGTGGTAGATTTATTTATGTGATTTACCAGTGAAACACACAGTTCCTGCTATATTTATGCATGCCCTATGCAGTTACAGAAGTTAACTCAATCTGCATGATTACCCTATGAGGCAAGTGCAATTCTTCCCATTTTACAGATGATGGAACTGAGACAGAGATTGAGACTGAGACACGTTAAATAACCAGCCCAGACACAGTGTCTGGTAAGTACCAGAGCTTGGATTTGAACTGAGGAATCTGCATTCAACGACTGTGCTCAATAAACAGTTACTAATTGATATCCTGTCCCACTGCTTGATTCTCCACAGGGATAAAACAAGGACAGACAATCTTAAATAAGTTAAACTTTAGAGAACCCCAGTAGAAGGGAATGAACCACCTGGGCCAGGGAATTCAATAGAAGAAAATGACCTAGGTTAGACTCACTCTAGCTTCCAAGGAGCTCCAATTCCATGGAATGTGACTGCCAGCTTTTTCTGTCCATGGAATTTCCCAGGCAAGAACACTGGAGTGGATTGCCATTTCCTTCTCCAGGGGATCTTCCCTACCCAGGGGTCAAACCCATGTCTCCTGTGTCTCCTGCATTGGCAGACAGGTTCTTTACCTCTAGAGCCACTGAGGCTTCTAATTAAAGCCTAGGTCATTTTCTTCTGTTGTATTGCCCACTACCTGCTCTGATTCTTGTGTACTTATATTTGTCATCTGTCCCTGGATTGAACCTTCTATGACCAGGGGTCCCCAACCTCCGAGATCCAAGGCCTGGCGATCTGAGGTGGAGCTGATGTGATAATAATAGAAATAAGAAAGTGAAAGTGAAATTCACTCACTCATGTTCAACTCTTCACAACCCAGGCCAGAATACCGGAGTGGGTAGCCTTTTCCTTCTCTAGGGGATCTTCCCAACCCAAGGATTGAACCCAGGTCTCCTGCATTGCAGATTCTTTGCTGCCTGAACCACAAGGGAAGTCCTTGAAATTAAGTGCAAAATAAATGTAAAATGCTTAAATCATCCCCAAACCATCCCCCCACCCTGCCTGTGGAAAAATTGTCTTCTATGAAACTGATCCCGGATGCCAAATAGGTTGGGGACTGCTGTTCCACACCATAGGCACTGAGGTTAGTCTTTATTTGAGAAAATGGTAGAAAAAGTGACCAAGAAGCACCTCTTTTGACAAATGAGAGCTCCCTATTCATGTACAGTTAG